ATATATATATATATATATATATATATATATATATATACAAAAATAACATATACCTATCATTTTAATGTTTGGGAAATTGCTTATTTTATAATTAAAAATGATATTTTCTGGGAATTTTTCAATTTTAAAAATATTAACCAATCTGTGACACAAACAAAATTTGGTAAATCAGTTGGAAATAACTATTGGTTCATATGGCAAAAATACAATACACACGTACGTGACGGTGAAGGACCACGTTTATAAATAAACGTTGACTAGCATAGATAATTAGTTATATAATTGTTATTCTAATGAGTTTCACAGCCATATTCTCTTTGATAGGCTATGGCTTAGCTTAGCTTGGCTTAGCTTCGCCTGGTCTGTTCTGGCCTGGTCTAGTCTCGTTTAGTTTAGTAATTAGTTTAGCTTAGTTTAGTTTAATTTAGAGAATAATCCATTTTTTATCCATGCATGCGTTAATAATTTGGGGTAAGACATATTCAACTGCAGTTAAACTACTTATTATATACTTCAAAAGAAAGCTATACGTGTTATAACCTTTTCTCGCTTTGAAGAACACTCAAGTCTTCTTTCAAGTGTTTTTTTCTTTCCGAAAACCAGAAAAATTTTCAAATTATTGAATATAAGATATCAGGGAGTGAAAATATGGAATGTGTTGAATGAGGATGATAAAAAGATGACATTTTTACAACTTAAATGAAAACTTAAAGCTGGTTTTATTAATTGACTGTCTTTTCTTTTCATTTTTGATTTTTTAGTCGTCTAAAATCGTAATTATTGTGAGATCTATCTTACAATAATTGATTAATTGTACCACTTGGCCCCAGTCTTTTGGTTATTTCGGGTTGCCAGCTCTGTTAATTTTACATAAGTCACATTAATAGATATAGGAATAACGTAAAACACAAAATGTAACTACGCAATAATGTTGCCGCTGAGAGCTGCCATCGTATTTAAATCAGATTTAAAATAAAGTGCGCTAACTTCGTATTATGCTGTGTAGCGGTTATTTCAAATAAGAACACCTGATTATTTATTGCCACATCTATGCAATTCCTAGAATACTACGACAAATATGGTGCTCCACCAGAAAAGGATAATTCTTGGATGGAGGGATATCATGTGGTCGAGAAAAAACTTGCTGTGCATTATAACAATGTGGTGGACCATCAGCTGGACTTCCCCCTTGTTGCCGGAATGGGGGGAGGGGTGCATCTCTATCGATCAATACATGGCCAGGAGGGTGACAAACCCTGGAATTGGACCGGATGGATACCACGACAGAAGCGATGGCTTAGTCAAGGAACGTTCTTCAGTAACAGGTTTATCCTGCAGTCATGATTTCTCGCCAATAATTTATCGCATCGCATTTCGTGGCGACACCTCCCTCCTCCGCAGAGGCTTTAATTGGCTATGAAGGCGCGAAGCCTCTGCACGATGCCACACCCAATATGGCGGTAAACCGGGGGGCGTATAATTATCAAACGCAAAATTCAAGTCAAAATGACTGAGAAAATATCTCTTCGCAATACTGCAACAAGCTGACAAAGAGATTATTTACTAGCTCTACGAAATAAGAAAGTGTTATGTTCAGTTTGCGAGAAAACATCCCTGCATTTTTTCTAGACAAGGTCTCCATCTACAGTATAAAACAATGCACGGAAACAACGTATTTAGCGAACAGGTTTTGGTTGCAAGCGAAGAAACTTTTAAATTTATATTTGACATTTGTATTTTTAGAAATGTGTCCAAAACCGCATAACAGAAAAAAATGAGTATGTATAGCATACAGAACCATTATTAAATTTATTATCGAGACTGAAAATACAATTCAACTATTTCAACTTCAGCAATATTTATAAACAAACGCAACCTTCAGTCGGTTTCGACCCGATTTATTTGGAGGTTCGTATCTTTGGTTCAATATACGCTATGTAGATGAAAATACCACCGTTCGATTCAGTACAAAAATATCTCCTAGTTTCTATCGATAGTTTTAGTGAAATGTCAACACTATAGCGATTTATGACCTTTGAAAGTCAAGCGGGATTTTGTATATTAATATCAAATCACGCAATGTTTACACTTGATAAAAATATAAACTAGGCATAC